CCGAAATGTTTGCTGGGTATACATGTAACCAAATTCAACTTGTAAATTTTTACAAGTGAGTGTTTTTTGAATTGAAATCTCAATTCTTAAATTCCCGTATGAATTGGCCATTGAATGGCTCGTAAGGCCTTATATATTTCTTTTATTAAGTCTAGATATATTCCTTAGATTATGTTCTGAAAAAATTTTGTCAAGCGATTCCTGTGATGATAATATTTAATAGTTTGATGAATTTCAATCGTATTTTTGATTAGATTTTCAGGTTTCAAGGTTGCAGTGTCGGAAATTGCTGTACATTCTGGTTCTAAATGAAGTATGAAATTTTGATAGATTCGAGAGCTACGAGAAATTTTATCAAAACAGAGAATATGCAAATTTTTTTGTTTATGTGCAATTCAGATCCAGTCTTGATTTGTATGAAGTTGTATCCACAATGTATTTTGGATTTGCATATACTTTGTTGCACATTTTTCTGATTCGTGTTTACTAAGTATTTCGTTTAAACAATTGTCTTTTATTCCTGTTTTATAATCTGGATAAATTCTTTTTAGTAACTGGCAATCACTTATCTTTCTTGCTTTCGTTAATTCTAATTCATTTACCGCATAAAAATATTGTAGTTCTATAAGAATCTAATAAAATAAGTTTTTGCGTAGTATCTATAATAGATTGACCTAACGAACTATGTCTCGGAAGAGATATTATTCTAGTTAATTCTAACATTTTATCCTCTATCAGGGGAATCAATAATTGTAGTAACAGTCTTTTTTCCGTTAAAGCTATTACGTTGCTTATATCTATAAGAGTAGTATAATATTTTTCTTCTAAGGGTACAAGGAAGTTATCGATGTGTTTATGTTCCATGAGAATAGTAAAAAGTTTTCTAGGAGATAGAATATATGATTGCACAGTTCCATTTCTGCCGTCTACAATTAAATCTTCTAATTTTCTAATTTTATTAATTAGGTTTTGCATTTTGTTATTCAAGTTTAAAAGAAGTTCGTCTATCCAAATATTAAGTTTGTTAGCGTGACTCAGATCTCTGAGACAATTGAAATGTGTGTTCACATGTTCCATTTAATGTGAACATTCGTTTTCAAGTTCCTTATCGCCTGCAAATGTTTTAAGGATTATGCTAGTTTGATTCTTAACATATTGTACAAGGGTTTTTTGGTTCTTATAAAGTGTATCTAACTCTTGATTATAATTAGTCGCATCTGTATCATCTAAGGTTCCAAAGAGCATTTTACTTATTTTTCCTACAAAATCGAAAAGACCACGCTTGGTTTTCGATTTTTTTGTTTGCACGCCTGCTAAATGTAATACATTTTCTAATTCGTTAGTTACATGATCTAATTCATTGATTTTCTTACAAATTCTAATTTTTGAAGAACAAGTCCAACTTCGGTTTTGGACTGTATTGACGCATTTTTCTGCTAATTGTTGGTGTGCTTTTTGAAGTTCTACAAAGTGCCTTTCTAAGTCTGATAAGTCGTATCCTACTATGATTTTCCATTGTTTGTGATACAGTTTTATCTTGGACAAAATTTCAAGATAAACAACTTCTTCATTATCGAGCTGATAAACCGAATATTTTTCCTTTTCTCCATTACTCAAATGACATTGTAGAGCCATCACTAGTATCAATAGAATGATTCGTCTCAGATTTATTTTCTTGATCTAACAAGGAAACCTCACGGTGATGAGCTCACAGATTTCAATAAAATTTTTTTTGTAGATAGACCTAATATGAACCTTTATTGAGCAAAGCAAGAAGACGCACTACTCAAGTGTTTTCGAGAAAATCGAAGTTGTAAAATTCCGAGCGCCTTATAAGCAAAGTTTGTAAACCATTGTATCGAAGTCAGCATGGCGCATTGGTAGCGTGCCCAACTTATGCTCTTAAGATCGACGGTTCAAGTCTTTTTACTTAGATTTTACATTCAATAATTACATAAATTAATAAATATTAACATAAATATTAATAAATTTTGACATTTTGTCTATTTTTGATTAAAATTGAACATTTTTCTTTTTTTTCCTTTATCTTGAAAATTTGTTTGCAGAATTGCTGTCTATGAAAAATTAATTTTTTACAAAATTAGCAAATTTGGATAAAGAAAATTAACATAAAGGACACAAATCGCCTGTCTTGTTAATTATTAATACATTAATTAAAGGTTCATTTGAAGTTTATGATTAATAAAATATATTTATTTGTGTTTTTTATGTTAATTTTCTTTATCCGAATTTGCTAATTTTTTAAAAACGTCAATCAAAAAAACTCATCTATCGAGACTTGAAGCCGTCGATCTTAAGAGCACAAGTCGGGCACGCTACCGCTGCGCCATGCTGACTTCGGTACAATAGTTTACAAACTTTGCTTATAAGGCGCTCGGAATTTTTTAACCTCAATTTTCTTGAAAACGCTTGAGTAGTGCGTCTTCTTGCTTTGCTCAATAAAGGTTAATATTAAGGTCTATCTACAAAAAAAATTTTATTAAAATCGATGAGGTCATCACCGTAAGGTCTCTTTGTAAAACAAAAGGTTTGATATCACTTCTGTAATATTGTTTTATTTCTGTATTTGTTTTTATATGATATGTTATAAAGTTGTCGTGTCGAATCACAAAGAAAGGACCTTTCCACTGCAGTTCGAATGATTTCGCATTGAAGTTTTTTACAAGAACTAAATCGTTAATTTTGATTGGCGCGTATGTTTTATTAGAAATATTAGAATCTTGGTATTCACGTATACTCTTACGTGCTTTCTCTAATTTATTTTCGTGTTGAATGCGCATGTTATCAATTTGACTTTGCAGAGTTAATCTTTCATTTCCTTCACGGAAGATGTGATTAGGCTCTCTGCCAAATTGTAATTCGTAGGGTGTATAACCCGTCGTTTCGTTTACCGTACAATTATACGTGAGCATTGCCCGGGGTAGTATCATATCCCATTGCTCTTGTTCGTTAATATAATGTCTTATATATTCAGTTAATATAATGTGATCTTTTATTTTTTCCGTTCGATTGCGGGTGATAAATTGAAATGAACATGTTTTGCGTTTAATCTATCGCAAAGTGTTTTAAACTTGTTTGATGTAAACTCTAGCGCGTTATCAGAAAGAAATTCTTTAGGTTTTCCAAAATATCTAAGCCAAGAGTGCCAAAGTGCTTTTATGATTGCCGCTGTTGATTTGTCAATAAGCGGTTTTACTAGAATATAGCGAGTAAGGTAATCTTGAATTACGAGAATATATCGATTTTCTTTATTAGTTGTTTCAAGAGGTCCCATAATATCAAGCAATACTTTTTCATTAGAAGCTTTAGGAATATAGGGAGAAAAATAAATATAAGGTTTTTGAGTTCCCGGTTTGTTAAACTACAAGTTTCGCACTTATTAATAAATTCTTTTACATCTACAGTTATATTATAGGCCAATTATATTTTTATCTAATTTTTTGAAGTGTTTTTTTTACTGAATAGTGACCGCTTAATATGCCCGAATGAGCATATGCAATAATTTCTTTTTTATTTCTTATTTCCGAATTATGTTTAGAAACGTAAATGTACAATTTATCACCGAGATAATATTCGTCAATAATTGATCGTAACTTGTTAATTCCTTTTTGATCGTGTACAATATTTAAATGATGATCATTTTCGGTAAGAAAATCGTATAATTAAATTCTCATTTGTCGGTAAGTCGCGTGAGAAGAAATATAAATTTCATTTTCTCTTGTGATTTCGGATGGAGGTTCGATATAAAGTATGGTTTTTTTATTTTTAATTATTATTTGCTTTTGAATTTCTGGTTGAGATCATCTAAAAGAGCAAAGACTAGGAGATTTTGAGCTGCGAGGAGATATCATTCTTGGTGAGGAGTCTGGAATTCTAGTAATAGGAGTAAATGGTGTCTCGTCAATAATTATTTTTATTTTGTTTTCTAAGTCGTGTTCTAAAATAATTGAATCAATTAATCAATTGTCGTGTCTCTTTGTTCATAAGTCCTTTAATTGTTAGTGTCCATTTGGAAGGATTTGTGTCAGTATCTTCAATAATTGGAATAACATGAGCTCGTAAAAGATTAGGAGTAAGAAATTCTGGATTGATATTTTGCCAGCCTGGAACAGGATCTTTGCTGATAGCGATTTTAATGTAAAAATTTTCTTCTTTTACTTCGACAAGAATTTTTTGAATTTTATCAAAAGTTGTCTGAGTTTTATTTACATTTTCAGATTCAATTACATTAACAGAAATACGTGAAAGATCATCAGCGTTTGTGTTATATATAGGGGGAGTTCCCTTAGTGGCGGACGCTTAAGATTTTCTTTAAATAAATATGAAAAAAGAATAGAAATACTTTGGTTTGCTGCGTTTATAACAAGTTTATATCAGCTAGAATCAAAATAAAAGAACAAAATAATCAACATTATTATTACACTTTACTTAAATAAACATTGTTCTTTGATATATCTTACGCATAAAACAGAAGGTGGCACCTAATGCCGGACATAATGTAAAAACGTAATATAACGCGATACAGTCTCAAAAGAGTTTGCAACGGTCACATATATAATTATTTGAACACTCAGGAACATCAGCACAAGCTTCATGAGCCCATTCCTGACACATAAAACATTGAATCCAGTCTTCATTCGTGCTTTCTAGACAAACCACACAGATGGTTTTATTGTTGCTGCTTCTTAATGTCAGTGTTCTGTTTTTCTTACTTTTCTCCGCTTCTTTATTTGTTTTTTTCTTTTCCAATTGTAAGTTTTTTTTCTCTTTTTTAGATTTTGTTTTATTTTCTTTCTCTTCAACATATGATTTGTAGAGAGACGAAGTAAGAATTTTGCTTGTTTCTGCTTTCCTTTTTCTGGATTCGGATCTCTTTCTTGCAGCATCTGGTAAAGGGCATAATTCAAGGATAGTTTGATAAACATCCGCAGCAGAAGTAGTGAACGGCTGAGCGTTTATTATCTCTTGATCTGTCTCACTAATCGCAACATCAGTTCTTGCATCATGAAGTGCTAAAGAACTCTGGATCGTTGAATCGGTGAAATTTTTTTCAATTTCTTTTGATGGAATGTCCGTCATCTGAGAGGGTAAATAATCAAGATCTGTAAAAATGTTTTTATCTAAAGGATAAATCCCTGTGCATTTAAATCCGGACACAGCTATATCCAATCGGGCAACTTTAACAAAAGCGTCACAAACAAGACCTGTGATATCGTAGTCTGTGATGCGTGCTCCTGCGTTTGATCTCATCCAGACATCACATCGCTCATGAAAAGCATTTTTAAACGGCTTCATGAATGTTCTGTCTAGTGNTTGCAATTTGTGAGTTGTATGCGGTGGTAGACTGATTAAATGAATATTGTTATTTATGGAAAAATTTATGACATCCAATGTTTTGTGGCTGCTGTGTCCATCAAGAATAAGGAGCACAGGAGATTCTTGCGACGGACGGACAAACTTTTTAAAATGTTGCAACCACTGGAAGAAAAAGTCACTGTTCATCCAACCCTTTGGTTGAGCAACACCTTTACTATTTACAGGAGCATTTAACATTAGCCGGTCGTTCATTTTTTGTCGTGGAAAAACGAAGAATGGTGGTATGAAGTGTCCATTAGCACTCATACAAAATAAAATAGTTATATTTTTACCTCTCTCGGCTGAGGTAAGCTTCCCTACTTGACGTGTTGATTTTGTAGACAAAACTTTCTGATGTTTATGAACACAACTGATCCCAGTTTCATCGCAATTGTAGATATTAGAAGGAGAGAAATTGTATGCTTCCATAAGCTCTTCAAGATTGGTGAAAAATTGCTGCACTTGTGGCATATTAAAGCCTACAGCTCGCATCAAACTTGTGGATTCAGCCTTTCTTAAAGATATGTCAGAATGTCGAGCTAAAAAATCATAATAGAAATGTTTTCCAGCTGTTCCTTTTACCATGTTAAATCGATGGGGAAGCTTTAATTGTGCTGCCAAATCATACGCTAACTTTAAAAATTCTTTTTTTGTTAATGGCAAACAACGCTTAGCTAAGTCTTTTACGTGATGCACCAATAGATCTTCATATTCTGAAGTAAAAGTTTTAGTAAATCGGCCTAGTTTAGGTTGTAGTGTGACTTCTTGTCCTCGTTTTAAAGACTTTACTNTATCAAATAAAGTGCTTTTTGGAATTCCATATCTCTGAGACGCTCCTCTTAGACTAATTTTGTTGCTCATAATTTTGTTGAGAGCAATTTTTAAAGTCTCTGGGTCCCAGGAACATTTTTTTCTATTTTCGATGTCTTGTTTCTTGTCCATCGTTGTTAGGTAAACGCTAAAATCAAATATTATTTCAAACATTGACATAAAGTTTAGATTCTTACTGTCTGGCAATAAGGAACAGTGTTCTATCCGAAACTAGGGGACAATAACCTTTTTTTAAAAAAGCAGTTTTGTAGAAACCAGTCTATTAAATACAAAAAACCAAAGAGTACTTAAAAGAGTACTTACCAAAGTGTATAATTACGCAATTTACGCACTTCTAACTGCTATAATTTGCTATACACAACACTTCTAACTTTACGCGATGCAACGTTTCTCGCGGCCAGCAAAACCATCAACCAAGTAACTTGTCTGTTCATACGCGACTGAAACATCTCGCGATCTCCTCGTCTTTTGTTTTTTTGCTGCTAACTCCTCCGCGATTGTCGATCGTCATTGATTCTTATATTTGAGAAATATCGCCAGTGTCCGGTATTAAGTGCCGTCCGCCGCTAGGGGAACTCCCCCTATATAAGTTTTCCCAATTTATAAACTATTTCATAATTAAATTCTTCTAATTTAAGTCTCCATCTCATAAGTCTAGAATTTGGATCTTTAACGTTCATTAACCAAATCAAAGGTTTGTGGTCTGTTACGATTTTAAATTGTTTACCAAATAAATATTGTCTGAAATGTTTCGTTGCCTATACAATTCTTAAAAGTTCTTTTTCAGTAGTACTGTATCGTGTTTCTGCTTTGTTGAAGAATTCTAGAGGCAAAAGCCAATGACTTGTGGTTACCTATTTCTCCCTGAAAAAGAATTGCTCCGATTGTTTCGTTAGATGCGTCCGTAGTAAGAACAAAGGATTTGTTTGAGTCGGAATATGAAAGTACTGATTGTGACATCAGTTTTGTTTTTACTAATTCAAACGAGTGTTCTTGTTCGTTTGTCCATTTAAAAGTTGTGGATTTTTGAAAGAGTCGTGTGAGAGGTTTGGCAATTTTTGAAAAACCTTTAATAAATTTTCGATAATATTCCACGAGTCCGAGGAATTGTTTTATTTTTTTAGGATTTTTAGGAACAGGATATGTTTGAACCTTTTCTATTCTTTTAGAATTAGGTTGTACACCACGTTCAGAAATTAAATGTTCTAAATACTTGAGTTCTCGGCAAAGATATTTGCATTTATCCGGTTGAAGTTTTACTCCTACTTGTCTAAGTCTTTCAAATAATATTTTTAAGATTTTATGTTCTTCTATTGTTTTTCCGTACACTATTATGTTGTAACGATGCATATCGTTACGGCCGGGACCGACCATCCGTCCCGGCCTAAAACGCGGCGCTTAGCGCCAAATAATAACTTGAAACCAGCGTATATCAAGAGGCACGGTAGTGCCTCGCGCNAAGTTCACGCGCGCGCAGTGCGCCCGAACTGTGCGAGGCACACCGTACCTCTATATTAAAAAAA